TTATCTGGGGTCACTTCCCTCTGTTTTTTACTGTCACTAGGACCACCTTGAGAGTCGCTGGACCCCTGTTGCACAAAATATCTGTCCAGAAAGGTCTGTTTCTGGCATCTCTTTAAGATTTGCCTAAAATGGGACATAGCATTGTCATTGTAAAAGTCACCAGCACGGATTGCAACAGCTTTCTCAGGGTGATGTTCCTCCACAAATGAATGCACTTTAGTCCACATTGCACAAATCTCCTTAATCTTTGAAGAAGGCACCTTCTTCCATCTCTCTTCCTCCTCCTCTGGACACAATCTGGCCACAATTTTCTCCAAGCAGAGTTCATCGTCCTGGAAGTCACTCCCTGCCAAGCCTATGCAGCAGAAGATATTGAACTCTCTTAGGGTCAAAGTACTGGTACTAGGAGCTCTCTTTGGGGCCATGGTCGCTTATCTAGCAGTCACACATGTTAAATTATTATTATTATTAACACACTGGCCGATTCCAACCAAGGCAGGGTGGCCCGAAAAAGAAAAACTTTCACCATCATTCACTCCATCACTGTCTTGCCAGAAGGGTGCTTTACACTACATTAACACCCCTCCTTCAGAGTGCAGGCACTGTACTTCCCATCTCCAGGACTCAAGTCCAGCTTGCCGGTTTCCCTGAATCCCTTCATAAATGTTACTTTGCTCACACTCCAACAGCACGTCAAGTATTCAAAACCATTTGTCTCCATTCACTCCTATCAAACATGCTCACGCATGCCTGCTGGAAGTCCAAGCCCCTCGCACACAAAACCTTCTTTACCCCCTCCCTCCAACCTTTCCTAGGCCGACCCCTAGCCCGCCTTCCTTCCACTACAGACTGATACACTCTTGAAGTCATTCTGTTTTGCTCCATTCCCTCTACATGTCCGAACCACCTCAACAACCCTTCCTCAGCCCTCTGGACAACAGTTTTGGTAATCCCTCACCTCCTCCTAACTTCCAAACTATGAATTCTCTGCATTATATTCACACCACACATTGCCCTCAGACATGACATCTCCACTGCCTCCAGCCTTCTCGCTGCAACATTCATCACCCATGCTTCACACCCATATAAGAGCGTTGGTAAAACTATACTCTCATACATTCCCCTCTTTGCCTCCAAGGACAAAGTTCTTTGTCTCCACAGACTCCTAAGTGCACCGCTCACCCTTTTCCCCTCATCAATTCTATGATTCACCTCATCTTTCATAGACTCATCTGCTGACATGTCCACTCCCAAATATCTGAATACATTCACCTCCTCCATACTCTCTCCCTCCAATCTGATATCCAATCTTTCATCACCTAATCTTTTTGTTATCCTCATAACCTTACTCTTTCCTGTATTCACTTTTAATTTTCTTCTTTTGCATACCCTACCAAATTCATCCACCAACCTCTGCAACTTCTCTTCAGAATCTCCTAAGAGCACAGTGTCATCAGCAAAGAGCAACTGTGACAACTCCCACTTTATGACAACTCCCACAAGTGGCAAAAACAATGGATTATTATGAAATGTTTCGTGTGACCTGGCAGTATATGTTCACTGGCTGAGAAACAACGCTACACCGGCTGAGAATGTGTGTGGGAGTCGGCTTTGTCTGCGTGCTGGGGACTGGACAGGTTCTGTACGACCGACGAAAACAGAGGTAATCGACGAAAACTAAAGCCAAAAATCAATGAAAAAAGTTGACCAAAACCAAAATCAGCAATGACTAAGATCGATGAAAACCAAGGGGTCACTGTACAAGAAAACCAGTCATATGAGACTGGTCATCAACAAAACCATTCACATAACAAGACCCATCATTCAGCAAGATCCATCATACAACAATTTTTTTTTTTTTTTTTTTTTTTAACAAGTTGGCCGTCTCCCACCGAGGCAGGGTGACCCAAAAAGAATGAAAATCCCCAAAAAGAAAATACTTTTATCATCATTCAACACTTTCACCTCACTCACACATAATCACTGTTTTTGCAGAGGTGCTCAGAACACAACAGTTTAGAAGCATATACGTATAAAGATACACAACATATCCCTCCAAACTGCTAATATCCCGAAACCCCTCCTTTAGAGTGCAAGCATTGTACTTCCCATTTCCAGGGCTCAAGTCCGGCTATATAAAATAAAAATAACCGGTTTCCCTGAATCCCTTCACTAAATATTACCCTGCTCACACTCCAACAGATCGTCAGGTCCCAAATACCATTCGTCTCCATTCACTCCTATCGAACATGCTCACGCACGCCTGCTGGAAGTCCAAGCCCCTTGCCCACAAAACCTCCCTTACCCCTTCCTTCCAACCTTTTCGAGGACGACCCCTACCCCACCTTCCTTACCCTACAGACTTAAATGCTCTCCATGTCATTCTACTTTGATCCATTCTCTCTAAATGATCAAACCACCTCAACAACCCCTCTTCAGCCCTCTGACTAATACTTTTATTAACTCCACACCTTCTCCTAATTTCCACACTCTGAATTTTCTGCATAATATTTACTCCACACATTGCCCTTAGACAGGACATCTCCACTGCCTCCAACTGCCTCCTCGCTGCTGCATTCACAACCCAAGCTTCACACCCATATAAGAGTGTTGGTACTACTATACTTTCATACATTCCCTTCTTTGCCTCCATAGATAACGTTTTTTGTCTCCACATATACCTCAATGCACCACTCACCTTTTTTCCTTCATCAATTCTGTGATTAACCTCATCCTTCATAAATCCATTCACTGACACGTCAACTCCCAAGTATCTGAAAACATTCACTTCCATACTCCTCCTCGCCAATTTGATATCCAATTTTTCTTTATCTAAATCATTTGATACCCTCATCACCTTACTCTTTTCTATGTTCACTTTCAACTTTCTACCTTTACACACACTCTCAAACTCATCCACTAACCTTTGCAATATTTCTTCAGAATCTCCTATAAGCACAGTATCATTAGCAAAAAGCAACTGTGTCAGTTCCCATTTTGTATTTGATTCCCCATAATTTAATCCCACCCTTCTCCCGAACACCCTAGCATTTACTTCTTTTACAACCCCATCTATAAATATATTTACCATGGTGACATTACACATCCTTGTCTAAGACCTGCTTTTACTGGGAAGTATTCTCCCTCTCTTCTTCACACCTTAACCTGAGCCTCACTATCCTCATAAAAACTCTTTACAGTACAGTGGACCCCTGGTTAACGATATTTTTTCACTCCAGAAGTATGTTCAGGTGCCAGTACTGACCGAATTTGTTCCCATAAGAAATATTGTGAAGTAGATTAGTCCATTTCAGACCCCCAAACATACACGTACAAACGCACTTACATAAATACACTTACATAATTGGTCGCATTCAGAGGTAATCGTTATGCGGGGGTCCACTGTATTTAGTAACTTACTGCCTATTCCATATACTTGCAACATCTGCCACATTGCTCCTCTATCCACTCTATCATATGCCTTTTCTAAATCCATAAATGCAATAAAAACTTCCCTACCTTTATCTAAATACTGTCCATGATAGGTATTTGCTTTCTGGTTTTGGAGGGGCATCTGAACTGTAGTATGTATTTATGCACCTCTGGCAAGACAGTGATAGAGTGAATGATGGTTTAGTTGAATGTCTTTATTATGTACTCCATACCCATCTTGTTTGTGGTAGTCAAAAGATTACAGAAGTACATAATGGATCCAGGGACTGTACCTCAACATTACAGAGGTATATAATGGGTCTAGGGACTGTACCTCAACATTACAGAATTCTGTACATAATGGATCCAGGGACTGTACCTCAACATTACAGTGGTACATTCATAATGGATCCAGGGACTGTGCCTCAACATTACTAAGGTACATAATGGGTCTAGGGACTATACCTCAACATTACAGAAGTACATAATAGATCCAGGGACTGTACCTCAACATTACAGAGGTACATACATAATGGATCCAGGGACTGTACCTCAACATTACAGAAACATTATAGAGGCACATAATGGGCCCAGGGACTGGGCTGCAGAGTTTTGATAGCTAAACAAGTTAAAGTGGTAATGAACTATTTATACGTTTATGTCTGGTTACAATTGTAATGAGTTATTTATACAGACATGAATTAGGTCACACACACACACACACATTAAGAAATTAGAGAAAGTGCAAATGTTTGCAACAAGACTAGTACCACAGCTAAGGGGAATGTCCTACAAAGAAAGGTTAAGGGAAATAGGCCTGACGACACTAGAGGACAGGAGGGTTAAGGGAGACATGATAACAACAAATAAAATACTGCGAGGAATTGACATGGTGGACAGAGACAGGCTGTTCCAGAGATGGGACACAGAAACAAGGGGTCGCAATTGAAAGTTGATTACTCAGAGGAGTCAAAGAGATGTTAAGAAGTATTTCTTTAGTCATAGAGTTGTCAGGAAGTGGAATTGTCTGGCAAGTGACGTAGTGGAGGCAGGAACCGTACATAGTTTTAAGACAAAGTATGATAAAGCTCATGGAGCAAGGAGAAAGAGGACCCAGTAGTAGTTAGTGAAGAGGCAGGGCCACGAGCTATGACTCTACCCCTGCACCCACAAATAGGTAGGTACAAATAGGTGAGTACACACACACACATACAAGTTTAAGTGGTAATGCATTATTTACAGTGGGCAAAGTCAGGGTATTTTACCAGAATGGTTGGTAGTATACCACTGTAGGTAAAATACTTGAAACATTTCTGATTGAGTTGTTTCTGAATTCATTAATTTTATCACATTCCAGTACATAATGATGCAAGGTGTAACAGTTCTCCATCTGGCAAAGTGAATGATGGTAAAAGTTTTTTTTTTTTGAGGGGGTCACCTAACCTTGGAGGGAGACAGCCAGTGTGTAAAAAAAAAAAAATAATTGCTTTCCTCCCAATATTACAACCAAAATGTAATTTTCTCCCATTCATAAAAATGTTATCATATACAATACACTTTATTTTTAGAGGAAGCTGTGAATACAATGAAGAGACCTTAGCAAGAGCTTGTGAACTGCAGAGAAATTTATATGCTGACATGGGAGGCACAGAGATTCTTCGTCCTTTTCACAGCATTTACTCTAAACCTCCAAAGCCTGGGTATTCAAGACAAGTAAGTGGGATGATGACTTTTATCACATTATAACACCGGATGGCTAATAACTCAAGATTCTTAGGTCTTCTTTCTCAGAATGATGCACAGTAGTGAACTAATTCCTAGGTATCCTTAGACTGCTAGGTGAACAGAAGAAGCAGGTATGAGAAAACTTTCTTGTATTATGTGCATTATTCACAATTTGAAAAACCAGGAAAATAGAATGAAATGTGTTTTTTCACCTGTGCAATAACATGTGCAGTACATCTAAATTTAGTAAAATATATTGGAAGAGGTGCACTTAAAATTTAATGTGAGCTTTCTTTGATGAACCACTCTTAAGTTCCCACCAGTCCCGTCAGCACTGATTTTAGATGTGGTTTCCGCTAGGTCTTGCTAAAGTATGAAGCATGTATAGTATAAGAATTACTATCCCTCTGACAGATATGAAACTTATTATTTCATTAAACCATACCACGGGCGGGATTTGAACCCGCGGTCAGAGAGTCTCAAAACTCTGGAGTTTTGAGACTCTCTGACCGCGGGTTCAAATCCCGCCCATGGTATGGTTTGTTTGCAATCGTGTCATTACGATTTCGTGAGTCTTATTATTTCATTATTTCCTTTTCTAGAGGAGGTGTTTAATAATATAAGTATAATAATAATAATAATAATCCTGGGTCTTAGGTTGGTGGACAGCAACTGCCCAGGGAGGTACTACCGTCCTGCCAAGTGAATGTAAAATAGAAGCCTATAATTGTTTTAAATGTTGGTAGGATTGCTGGTGTCTTTTTTTCTGTCTCATAAACATGCAAGATTTCAGGTATGTCCTGCTGCTTCTACTTACACTTAGGTCACACTACACATACGTGTACAAGCATATATATACACACCCTTCTGGGTTTTCTTCTATTTTTCTTACTAGTTCTTGTTCTTGTTTATTTCCACTTATCTCCAAGGGGAAGTGGAACAGAATTCTTTCTTCGTAAGTCATGTGTGTCATAAGAGGCGACTAACATGCCAGGAGCAAGAGTTTAGTAACCCCTTCTCCTGTATACATTACTAAAGTTAAAGAGAGCAACTTTCGTTTTTCTTTTTGGGCCACCCTACCTTGGTGGGATACAGCCGGTTTTGTTGAAAGAAGAAGAAGAAGAATATCTTTATTTCTATGGATATGTTGTGTATCTTTATACGTATATGCTTCTAAACTGTTGTATTTTGAGCACCTCTGCAAAAGCAGTGATAATGTGTGAGTGTCGTGAAAGTGTTGAATGATGATGAAAGTATTTTCTTTTTGGGGATTTTCTTTCTTTTTTGGGTCACCCTGCCTCGGTGGGAGACGGCCGACTTGTTGAAAAAAAAAAAAAACATGTACAAGGTATACAGACCATAGCTGACATCAAAGACATACTACTATATAGAAACCCCTTGTTATGCAGAGCATTTCAGGCAAATTAGGTCAATTTTGCCCCATGATGCAACCCCCACCAGTCAACTAACACACAGGTACTGTACCAATGTATGAACAGGGACAACAGGTGTAAGGAAAGATGGCTGATGTTTCCACCCTTGCCGAGAATCGAACCACTGACCCTCAGCATGTGAAATGAGAGCTATGCCTACCAGGCTACGGGCTTCAGATCTTGGAATGTCTCCTTCCCTATTGATTTAATAATAATAGCTGGTTAGGTGAACTTGAGTCCTGGAGGTGGGAAGTATAGTGCCTGCACTCTAGAGGAGGGGTAGGGATATTTGATATCTGGAGGGACATCTGAACTGTCGTATCTAAGTGCCTCTGGCAAAATAGTGATAGTGTGAATGATGGTGAAAGTGTTTCTTGTTCAGGGTAACCCAATCTTGGTGTGAGATTGCCAGTGATTAAAAGAAAAATAATTATATTATGTGGGATTTTATCATTCTTGAGCACCTGTTCTTTTGAGAAATTTATAAGCATTGACACAACAAACCATAGATACAACAACTGTGATAAAATTTTATGTTCAAGAATGTTACATTGAAAAGTATTTTCATGGTGATTGAGGAACTCAGGTGGTAATTACTTTTTTATTTGGAGCTGGTGAGTTGTATTGAAAGAGGTAATTACAATTAGCCTACACTTTATGAAGGTTTACTTAAGCTGTTAAGATGTATTTGCAGTGTTAATTATAAGTACAGTAATCTACACTTGCAACAAGATTTTTAACTGTTCCTCAAGGGAATTAAATAATTACTGCAGTTGCAGCAGTTCAAGAAACATGCATGAAATAAGTGTCCATCAGTCTTAAATATAAATTATTAACACAAACTTAATAGCTGTATGTTCATGTGACAAACATCAGCATTCCTACGTGCTATTTTTTTTTTTTAACCTCACCGACTGTTTCCAAACAAGGTTGGGTTACCTAAAACAAAAAAACACCATTATTCATTTACTTACTCTCTTTCCAATTTAGATTACCCTCTGACTGCAACGTCCCTCTCCTTTTTCAGAGTTCGTGCACTGCACTTTCCACCTCAAGGACTCTAGTTTGGCTAACTGGTTTCCCTGAATCCTTGTATAAATGTTACCTTTCTCACACTCCAGCAGTACATCCAATAAAAACCACCATTCTCCATTTTCTCTTATCCAAGACATTTACACAGGCCTGTGGGATGCTAAAGCTCTTACAACTCAAAGCCTCCTTTACCCTCTTCCTATATGATTTTATCTCTTGTTGCCTAATGCATGAAATGACTCCCTCTCTTTCATCACTAACATTCAACAGCTCTTGAAAATATCCTTTCCATTTTGCCATTATCTCCACCTTCCCATCTTACATCTTCCCCTCTTTCACTATGAACTGTAAAGTCTATGTACTCACTCCATTTTCTTCATTTCATTGATTTCTCTCCAAAACTGTTATTTATTCTCAGTATTCTCTCATTGGCTCTCCTTTTCACTTGTACACCAACCTTTAATGTATCTTTTCCTTTCCATATATACTGCCTTCCATATTTTATCTTTGCATTGTAAAAGCCTCTCATGGGCTGACTTTTTCTCTGTTAGTTCTCTCTCTGCCTCATCATTAAATCAGTCGTTCCGTATCCCATCTGCATCCACCCTCTCATACCCACAAATCTCTGCTGCAAACTGTAGCAATGCATTCTTAAATTTACCTTGACCTCTTCATTACTTGTACTCTCTCTAGCCCATGCTTCTCACATTAGTTGCTTATATATTTCCCTGCCTCCCCCTTTAGTTTATTCACTGCTGCCAGTGTTCTGGTACTTCATATACCCCTTACTTGTACTGTTGCTACCATTAAATAATGAACTAACATATCTTTCGCTCTAAAATCATTTACATGCATATGTCTATTTTAATGTTTCGTCTAATAATACATAGTCTGGCATCATTGTACCTCACATCATATCTTGTATGCTTATTTATCTTTTTCTCAAAATAAATATTGCCCATTACCAACCCTCATTCTAGATATATTTCAATTAAGGGCCCCCATGATCACTTACCCCTGAGAGTTCAAACATTTGTACTACACCATCTGCAACAGTATTGCCCATTTTAGCAATTTAGGTTCCTACGTAATTATTCTTTCATCTTGCTCAAGACTCCCTAAGCATTAATTTAACATTTCTCAAATTTTTTCTACTCTACACTCCTCTCGTTCCCAGGTGTATAACACTTTCCATAACCCACTTCTCACATCCCATCTCTATTCTGATCCCAATAATTCTTGAAGTTAATCACTTATACCACCCCTTTTTTTTCGTATTTGATAATCTAATCTTTCCACTACTGTACTGTAATATACATTTTTTTAACACATCAGCCTTCTCCCACCAAGGCAGGGCGGCCCAGACAAAACCCAAAAGTTTCTCTTTTTAAATTTAGTAATTTATACAGGAGAAGGGGTTACTGGCCCCGTGCTCCCGACATTTTAGTCACCTCTTACAACACGTATGGCTTAGGGAGGAAGAATTCTTCCACTTCCCCATGGAGATAAGAGGAAATAAACAAGAATAAAAACTAGAAAGAAAATAAAAGAAAACCCAGAAGGGTGTGTATATATATGCTTGTACACGTATGTGTAGTGTGACCGAAGTGTAAGTAGAGATAGCAAGACGTACCTGAAATCTTGCATATTTCTTTCTCTCGACACACCGGCCGTGTCCCACCTAGGCAGGGTGGCTCAAAAGGAAAAACGAAAGTTTCTCCTTTTACATTTAGTAATATATACAGGAGAAGGGGTTACTAGCCCCTTGCTTCCGGCATTTTAGTCGCCTCTTATGACACGCATGGCTTACGGAGGAAGAATTCTGATCCACTTCCCCATGGAGAATCTTGCGTGTTTATGAGACAGAAAAAAGGACGCCAGCTATCCTACCATCATGTGAAACAATTGCAGGCTTTCGTTATACATTCACTTGGCAGGATGGTAGTGCCTTCCCGGGTGGTTGCTGTCTATCAACCTACTACCTACCAGTATATATGTTAATTTTAAGGCTGTCTGAAATGCTCTGTATAACAAGGGACTTTTTATAAAGTAGTTTATACATATCAGTTGTATACCACATTCTATTTTACTGAAATAAAGTCATTTGCTTGTTGATTCCCACTGCTAGGCTTCCCTGCATCAGAGTGCCAATCATTAAGCAATCTTTTCACTGTATGTACTATCCACTCTCCGTATATCTCTTTAACAAATTACTATACTACAATATTTAGTGTATGGTTTTTACATTCATTTCTGTTACTTTATTTTACATTATACACAGAGTTTTCATATAGTTACTGGAATTTACTTTGAATTTCTCTTCAGATTCTCTTGATATCTGACGGTGAGGTGTGGAACGTAGATCAGGTGACTCAACTGGTGGGCCGTCATGTTCATGAAACTCGGGTGTTTGCTGTGGGAATTGGTGACGGAGCTTCCACGGCTCTCATACATGGAGTGGCCAGGGCTGGTAAAGGATATTCAGAAATGGTTTTCCAACAAGATAAACTTCAACATAAGGTAAAGCTGATTGTTTTTCTGTATCTTCTTCAGCAAGATAAATCAAATGCTATGTGCAAAGTGAATCTTTTTTTACAGATGGAGTTTTGCTCTTAAGTAATGTTTTATCAAGTAATTGACTTAAAGGTCTACTTAAGGAAAACAAAGTTGTGTGTAAATTAAGGTTTGCTCTACACATAATGTCTAATTACTATATTTGTTGGCAACTCTTGCCATGCAGCATTTGATGACCTTAATTATATATGTATATAACCTCTTCTCCTGTATATATAGTGGACTCTCGACCAATGATGGCATCGATTAACGATAAATCCGACTAGCGATACATTTTAACGCAAAAATTTTGCCTCGACTAGCGCTAAAAAACTCGACCAACACTATTCATTCCGTCTGAGACGCGTCCACTTCTGGCCAGTGTTTACAAGCCAGCCAGCCACCGCAGTCGCTTCCAAGAATGCAATCGGAACATTTCATATTATCACAGCCTTTTTAGTGATTTCACCTGAAAAATAAGTGACCATGGGCCCCAAGAAAGCTTCTAGTGCCAACCCTACAGCAAAAAGGGTGAGAATTACTATGGATATGAAGAAAGAGATCATTGCTAAGTATGAAAGTGGAGTGCATGTCTCCGAGCTGGCCAGGTTGTACACAAAACCCCAATCAACCATTGCTACTATTGTGGGCAAGAAAACGGCAATCAAGGAAGCTGTTCTTGCCAAAGGTGCAACTATGTTTTCGAAACTGAGATCGCAAGTACTCGAAGATGTTGAGAGACTGTTATTGGTGTGGATAAACGAAAAACAGATAGCAGGAGATAGCATCTCTCAAGCGATCATATGTGAAAAGGCTAGGAAGTTGCATGACGATTTAATTAAAAAAATGCCTGCAACTAGTGGTGATGTGAGTGAATTTAAGGCCAGCAAAGGTTGGTTTGAGAGATTTAAAGGGAAGGGAAGTAACCCCGGAAAAGGACTTGCCACCTCAAGTCCTAATGGAAGGGGATTTCCCTTCTAAACACTAAGACCATCAACACTCTTCCCTCCTTCCATCCCATCAATCATCACCTGATCTTCAATAAAGGTAAGTGTCATGTAACTGTGCATGTCTTCTTCAGTTTGTGTGTATTAAAATTAATATTTCATGTGGTAAAAACAATTTTTTTTCATACTTTGGGGTGTCCTACACGGATTAATTTGATTTCCATTATTTCTTATGGGGAAAATTAACTTGACTAACGATAATTTTGACTAACGATTAGCTCTCAGGAACGGATTAATAGCGTTAGTCGAGGGCCCACTGTATTACCAAATTTAAAAAAAGAAACTTTTTTCTTTTTGGGCCACCCTGCTTCAGTGGGATACGGCCAGTTTGTTGAAAGAAGAAGAATTACATATATGTTGCAAGATTCTGTACGAGGCACAAGTACGCTCACACGTTGAGTATGCTCCACTTTCTTGGTTTGCCTGCCCCCCCTCTCATCTGCGACTGCTTGACAGAGTAGAGAACAGAGCAAGACGTCTCATCTCTCGCCTGGACCCATCCTGGATAGATCTGTCATTTCAGCAGAGCCTTCAACACAGGAGGGATGTGGGTGGCCTTACTGTTATGTACAAGGCCAATATTGTCAATGTATCACACTTGGATCCACTTCGAGGACAGCGTGAAACAAGCTTTTATGCCACAAGACGGACAGAAAGCAGCAACTTCACTCTGGCTGTACCCTTCTCCAGAACATCACTCCATCTGAGATCATACATACCCAGGATGACTCGAGTATGGAACACATTCGTACAGCATAATGATGTCAACGAGATAAAGTCAGTTGATCACATGAAAATGCTGGCCCACAGATGGCTCCAACTTCATCCTGTTCCCTACTTGTATGTCTCATAACAATAAAAATGCTTTCAAATGAGCTGATGTAGGTAACAGCTCTTAGCTTGTCAATAAAGTTAGGAATCCTTAACCTGTAAATAGCTTGTCAATAAAGCTAGGGATCCTTAACCTTGTCAAATCCTGTGTAAAAAAAAAAAAAAAAAAAAATGTTTCTTGCCCTTGTAGTCTTAAGGTTAAGCTTTCCTGGAATGCTCTGCATAACCATGGGCTTTCAGCATGCAATCAGTGTCACCCATTTCTGTATAAACATTGAAGTATTCTCAGCCTTACAGCCTAACAACCCTGGCTTAACTTTTTTCATTTGTTTATTTTTTTAACTCTATGTCCATCTCCCACTGAGGCAGAGTGAACTGAAAAAGAAGAAACAAAGTTTTTCTTCTTCTTTCATTTAGTGATTTATACAGATGAAGGGGTTGCTAGCCCATTGCTTCAACATTTTAGTCACCTTTTATGACCTGCATGGCTTACGGAGGAAGGATTCTTCTCCACTTAAGTTTATCTTATTAAAAAAAAGAACCATTTAGGAGAGGAACTCTATGACGACATTTTGGTCCCTACTGGACCATTGTCAAGCCTGGTTCAGGATGGATCAAATGATTATATGGTGGAATATTACTAAGAGGTGAGTGATTGTATGGTGGTATATTATGTAAACCACACATTGTAAGCTGTGCAAGGAAATAAAAAAAAATTAATTTAACCCATAAACGGTCCAAACATATATATACGTTCACTACCCCAGTGCCCCGAATATTTTGAAAAATAAAAAATTTTTTTTTTTTTATTGAAAAAAAGAGCACATTTTTCTAAGTGTTATAGGATAACAAAAAAAAATAGAGTCAGTATTTACCGAGATATGAGGCTGCAAAGTTGGCACTTGGGGATCACCTGACAGCAACATGGAGCGCTGCCGCTTGCAAAAGTGTTGCCGATATACCTTTTTTTCTATTTTTCATATTATTTTATATAATTTTTATGTTCTGATAATTACAGTTTATAGTAGTTCTTGTCATTTCATAACAAATCTTTGTTCTGACACTAGTATTAAGTACTGAAATTATACTCACATTGTCACAAACACACTGACAGGTGGACACTTACACCTGCCTTGGCCATTTACTGTTGTCTTGGAATATATACAAAGTATTTATATGTCCCAGCAATGTTTTGGATATGTGGAAGTATATAAGGAGGAGGAGGAGGAGAAGAAGAAGGAGGAGATGGAGGAGGAGGAGAAGTAGGAGGAGGAGAAGTAGGAGGAGGAGAAGTAGGAGGAGGAGAAGAAGGAGGAGGAGAAGAAGGGGGAGGAGAAGAAGGAGGAGTAGAAGGAGGTGAAGAAGGAGGTGAAGAAGGAGGTGAAGGAGGAGGAGAAGAAGGAGGAGGAGAAGGAGGAGGAGAAGAAGGAGGAGTAGAAGGAGGTGAAGAAGGAGGTGAAGAAGAAGGAGGTGAAGAAGAAGGAGAAGAAGGAGGAGGAGAAGAAGGAGGAGGAGAAGAAGGAGGAGGAGAAGAAGAAGGAGGAGGAGAAGAAGGAGGAGGAGAAGAAGAAGAAAGGAGGAGAAGAAGAAGGAGGAGAAGGAGGAGGAGGAGAAGGAGGAGGAGGAGGAGGAGGAGAAGAAGGAGGAGAAGAAGGAGGAGAAGGAGGAGGAGGAGGAGAAGAAGGAGGAGGAGGAGAAGAGGAGGAGAAGGAGAAGTAGGAGGAGGGGAGGAGGAGGAGGAGGAGGAGGAGGAGGAGGAGGAGGAGGAGGAGGAGAAGAAGGAGAAGAAGGAGAAGAAGAAGGAGGAGGAGGAGGAGAAGAAAAAGGAGGAGGAGAAGAAGGAGAAGGAGAAGGAGACATAATAATAATAAAATAATAAGTTGCCTTGAAGCATGAAAAACAAAGTCCACCCCTGACAGTGACAAGATAAGGGGAGATAACATCTGATAAGATCTGACGTTTGATGAGCGTAAACAAGGAGGAGGGAGGGTGCAGCTGATAAGAAAAGATTAGATGACCATCCCCCTAGCTTTGTTTTTGCTGGTACACAAACATTTCTGTCTGTCTATTTGTCTGTCTGTCAAGCTCACTGTCTCAGAGAGCCACAAGACTGTGTCATCACCTTTACTCACATCTTCAAGCAGAGTATAGCACTTTGGCTGGATTTTTTGGGTTATCCTAGCTAATTTACACTATGTATACTTATATTTGTGTGTACCTGTGAGACAGAGATAGACAGACAGATAGAAAGAGATAGACAGAAGCAGATAGACAGAGATAGACAGGGATAGACAGAGATAGACAGGGATAGACAGAGATAGACAGGGATAGACAGAGATAGACAGGGATAGACAGAGACAGATAGATACAGACAAAGACAAAGACAGACAGAGATAGAGACAGAGAGACAGAGATAGATATAGATACAGACAGACAAACAGAGATAGAGCCAGGCCACCAGCAGCCGGCCAGCCACACAGCTGGCCACCATGCAGCTGGCCAGCCAGCTGGCCAGCCAGCTAGCCAGCCAATCAGTCAGTCAGTCATCCAGCCAGGCAGCCAGCCAGCCAGCCTGCCAACCAGCCAGCCTGCCAGCCAGCCAGAATTGTTTCTCTTGACTTAGGGCATTGGTTATAAGACATTCTGAAAGGGTTTTGCACAAATATCACACATGGGTTATTATCGAGGTTTTTTGATATTTCCTTGACCACTTGTGGCCACATCCACCTCAAAGCCACTAAACTCAGGGTCAAAAATCACTTTCCTCTTAAAATGGGGGTGCTAATACTACATGACATCAGTGAATCCCAGGTATTTGCTGTGCTGTTTGCTCTAGCTGGCACTCATTTGAACTGGTGCTCCCACAAGATACTAAGTGGTCCCAGATTTTTTTAATACCACGCACACTGAGTGTTAGGACCCATTCTATGCTGACAAGGCATCTCAGGCCAATCATGCCAAATTTGAAGGCAGGAAAAATAAAACGTATATATACGTTTGGGGCACTAGCGGCAAAAACATATATTAAAACGTATATATACGTTTGGACCGTTTACGGGTTAATTACTAAGAAGTGAACAAGTGTGTGGTGGCATATTGCTATAATGAATGATTGTGTGGTGGAATATTAAGTGAAGGGTCATTCAATGGTCACTGTTTTTTTTATTTTTTATTATCACACTGGCCGATTCCCACCAAGGCAGGGTGGCCCGAAAAAGAAAAACTTTCACCATCATTCACTCCATCACTGTCTTGCCAGAAGGGTGCTTTACACTACAGTTTTTAAACTGCAACATTAACACCCCTCCTTCAGAGTGCAGGCACTGTACTTCCCATCTCCAGGACTCAAGTCCGGCCTGCCGGTTTCCCTGAACCCCTTCATAAATGTTACTTTGCTCACACTCCAACAGCACGTCAAGTATTAAAAACCATTTGTCTCTATTCACTCCTATCAAACACGCTCACGCATGCCTGCTGGAAGTCCAAGCCCCTTGCACACAAAAACTCCTTTACCCCCTCTCTCCAACCTTTCCTAGGCCGACCCCTACCCCGCCTTCCTTCCACTACAGACTGATACACTCTTGAAGTCATTCTGTTTCGCTCCATTCTCTCTACATGTCCGAACCACCTCAACAACCCTTCCTCAGCCCTCTGGACAACAGTTTTGGTAATCCCGCACCTCCTCCTAACTTCCAAACTACGAATTCTCTGCATTATATTCACACCACACATTGCCCTCAGACATGACATCTCCACTGCCTCCAGCCTTCTCCTCGCTGCAACATTCATCACCCATGCTTCACACCCATATAAGAGCGTTGGTAAAACTATACTCTCATACATTCCCCTCTTTGCCTCCAAGGACAAAGTTCTTTGTCTCCACAGACTCCTAAGTGCACCACTCACTCTTTTCCCCTCATCAATTCTATGATTCACCTCATCTTTCATAGACCCATCCGCTGACACGTCCACTCCCAAATATCTGAATACATTCACCTCCTCCATACTCTCTCCCTCCAATCTGATATTCAATCTTTCATCACCTAATCTTTTTGTTATCCTCATAACCTTACTCTTTCCTGTATTCACATTTAATTTTCTTCTTTTGCACACCCTACCAAATTCATCCACCAATCTCTGCAACTTCTCTTCAGAATCTCCCAAGAGCACAGTGTCATCAGCAAAGAGCAGCTGTGACAACTCCCACTTTGTGTGTGATTCTTTATCTTTTAACTCCACACCTCTTGCCAAGACCCTCGCATTTACTTCTCTTACAACCCCATCTATAAATATATTAAACAACCACAGTGACATCACACATCCTTGTCTAAGGCCTACTTTTACTGGGAAAAAATTTCCCTCTTTCCTACATACTCTATCTTGAGCCTCACTATCCTCGTAAAAACTCTTCACTGCTTTCAGTAACCTACCTCCTACACCATACACTTGCAACATCTGCCACATTGCCCCCCTATCCACCCTGTCATATGCCTTTTCCAAATCCATAAATGCCACAAAGACCTCTTTAGCCTTATCTAAATACTGTTCACTTATATGTTTCACGGTAAACACCTGGTCCACACACCCCCTACCCTTCCTAAAGCCTCCTTGTTCATCTGCTATCGTATTCTCCGTCTTACTTTTAATTCTTTCAATAATAACTCTACCATACACTTTACCAGGTATACTCAGCAGACTTATCCCCCTATAATTTTTGCACTCTCTTTTATCCCCTTTGCCTTTATACAAAGGAACTATGCATGCTCTCTGCCAATCCCTAGGTACCTCTCCCTCTTCCATACATTTATTAAATAATTGCACCAACCACTCCAAAACTATATCCCCACCTGCTTTTAACATTTCTATCTTTATCCCATCAATCCCGGCTGCCTTACCCCCTTTCATTTTACCCACTGCCTCACGAACTTCCCCCACACTCACTACTGGCTCTTCCTCACTCTTACAAGATGTTATTCCTCCTTGTCCTATACACGAAATCACAGCTTCCCTATCTTCATCAACATTTAACAATTCCTCAAAATATTCCCTCCATCTTCCCAATACCTCTAACTCTCCATTTAATAACTCTCCTCTCCTATTTTTAACTGACAAATCCATTTGTTCTCTAGGCTTTCTTAACTTGTTAATCTCACTCCAAAACTTTTTCTTATTTTCAACAAAATTTGTTGATAACATCTCACCCACTCTCTCATTTGCTCTCTTTTTACATTGCATCACCACTCTCTTAACCTCTCTCTTTTTCTCCATATACTCTTCCCTCCTTGCATCACTTCTACTTTGTAAAAACTTCTCATATGCTAACTTTTTCTCCCTTACTACTCTCTTTACACCATCATTCCACCAATCGCTCCTCTTCCCTCCCGCACCCACTTTCCTGTAACCACAAACTTCTGCTGAACACTCTAACACTACATTTTTAAACCTACCCCATACCTCTTCGACCCCATTGCCTATGCTCTCATTAGCCCATCTATCCTCCAATAGCTGTTTATATCTTACCCTAACTGCCTCCTCTTTTAGTTTATAAAACTTCACCTCTCTCTTCCCTGATACTTCTATTCTCCTTGTATCCCATCTACCTTTTACTCTCAGTGTAGCTACAACTAGAAAGTGATCTGATATATCTGTGGCCCCTCTATAAACATGTACATCCTGAAGTCTACTCAACAGTCTTTTATCTACCAATACATAATCCAACAAACTACTGTCATTTCGCCCTACATCATATCTTGTATACTTATTTATCCTCTTTTTCTTAAAATATGTATTACCTATAACTAAACCCCTTTCTATACAAAGTTCAATCAAAGGGCTCCCATTATCATTTACACCTGGCACCCCAAACTTACCTACCACACCCTCTCTAAAAGTTTCTCCGACTTTAGCATTCAGATCCCCTACCACAATTACTCTCTCACTTGGTTCAAAGGCTCCTATGCATTCACTTAACATCTCCCAAAATCTCTCTCTCTCCTCTGCATTCCTCTCTTCTCCAGGTGCATACACGCTTATTATGACCCACTTCTCGCATCCAACCTTTACTTTAATCCACATAATTCTTGAATTTACACATTCATATTCTTTTTCTCCTTCCATAACTGATCATTCAACATTACTGCTACCCCTTCCTTTGCTCTAACTCTCTCAGATACTCCAGATTTAATCCCATTTATTTCCCCCCACTGAAACTCCCCTACCCCCTTCAGCTTTGTTTTGCTTAGGGCCAGGACATCCAACTTCTTTTCATTCATAACATCAGCAATCATCTGTTTCTTGTCATCTGCACTACATCCACGCACATTTAAGCATCCCAGTTTTATAAAGTTTTTCTTCTTCTCTTTTTTAGTAAATGTCTACAGGAGAAGGGGTTACTAGCCCATTGCTCCCGGCATTTTAGTCGCCTCATACGACACGCATGGCTTACGGAGGAAAGATTCTTTTCCACTTCCCCATGGACAATAGAAGAAATAAAGAAGAACAAGAGCTATTTAGAAAAAGGAGAAAAACCTAGATGTATGTATATATATATATGCATGTGCGTGTCTGTGAAGTGTGACCAAAGTGTAAGTAGGAGTAGCAAGATATCCCTGTTATCTAGCATGTTTATGAGACAGAAAAAGAAAACAGCAATCCTACCGTCATGCAAAACAGTTACAGGTTTCTGTTTCACAGTCATCTGGCAGGACGGTAGTACTTCCCTGGGTGGTTGCTGTCTACCAACCTACTACCTACGCTGTTTTATTTGAAGCAAGTATGCTATCAGAATCCTAGCTGCTAATGCATATGGTGTGCATTTTGCCACATACATCTTTATACTCATAAGGTGCACAGATGAAAATTTGCACACTTTTTTTTTGGACAATTTCGCAAACTAAAAATACTGTATCTCCATTGTAAAACTTATTAATCATTGCACACTTTAAATTCTAAATTACATGTGTCATCCAACTCAGCTGAGCAGCTGTCTTCCATATTGACCTTAATGTCAGATCAGAGATGGTTGCTGTACTTCTGGCAGTATTGAAGTTGTGTTGTGGAGTAAACTTCTGTTGGAACAAACTTTTGTTTTAAAACTTTATAAAACTCCATTAGAGCAAAACATTGTCCCAGTAAAAGCTTGTTCTTTTTGCAGTGTGACTTTTCTTCAGTGCCCTAAATCTCCACCTGCTCTAGGATTGACCCATAAATGGTCCAGGCAGATCTATGTTCACATGTGTAGTGCTCCAAAAGTAGATTACGTTTTTTTTACATATTTTCAAATATATATATAAAAAAAAGTAGATCAAAGTTTTTTTACACATTTTCAAATGTAAAAAAAAAAAAAAAGAAGATCTACTTTTTTTTACATACTTTCAAATGTTGAAAAAACGTATATATACGTTTGGACCATTTACGGGTTAAACATGGGTCCTTTGGTTGTGAGCTGAAGGCACTACACTGATCTAGAAACTGCCTAGTTTCTCACTATGATACTTGTTGACTGTTCTGCCTTCAAGTCACCTGTTTTTTTTTATATGGTCCTCCTAAGTTCTTGCCTATGGTTGGCCTTAAAACACACTTTAGTTTAGTATTTCTACTTACGGGACTCCTTATGGGGTTTTTTTTTGATGGCAGGGAAAAGTTCTAAATCCAAGGAATTAGTTACTCTTCATTTCATCAGATCAAACTTGATTCCCTCCCATTTCTTAATTAGTCTTACTGCTGTTGGTTTAGTAATTTCAGATGGATGTAATGATGATTTTGTATCTTTTTACAATAGAACTTACCTGTTGTTATTGGTCATTTTCAGGTAATGGGACTGGTGAACTCTATGGTACAGGAGAGTGTACAGGACGTGAGGGTCACTTGTGAGGTGGAACCCACCAGCAGAGTTACACTCCTCCCCAAAGTTCCACCTGTTATCTTCGGTGGTCAGCATCTGGTGTTATACACTAGGCTGCCTCCTACTACCACTGTAAGTCTGCAAGAGTAACTTGTGGCCATAGGAAATGGTGGAGGAAGAACAGACAATTTTTTAAATTTTTATTATGTAATAAATGCTTCTCTCTCTCTTTTCCTCTCCTTATGAGGTCATAAATTAGCCGCCAAACAGAACCTCATCCAACACTGTTTTCAATGTACTTTTCATAACTCTGAATTTCAGCAAGGCTTCAGTCCTTAGTGTAGATAGTACATTTAGTTTCTGAAGTATTTAATCAGCTTTTACAGTACATTTGACTTGTGTACTCTATGTATTCCTGTACTTGATGCTACGTGACTCATTTAGATTTTATGCTTTCTTGCAAATATAATGCTGTAATAACCATCTGATACAGGTGAAGGAAATAAGCATCAAGGGCAACATTGGATCAGCCGAGCTGAGTATTAGCATCCAGGGCAGTGACATTGTCATGGTTCATGACACAGAGATGAGTCTTCACCGCCTGGCAGCACGAGCACAGATCAACCAGTGGCAGCTGGATGAAGAAGGTTGGTATGCCTTCTTAGCATTCTTATTAAGCATTACTATTAAAGATAGTCACAGACACAAGCACTGATTTATTTAGATGTGTATATACAATAGTCTTTTGCTTATATTGATCTCACAAATACAATAATGATTTTGTGGTGATTTCTAGCTTAAGTCCCCTCAAGGCTGCCATCATGACTCAGCTAGAGTTCACTACAGTCATGCTGGTGGGAGATTCATATGTAAAAATTTGCATTTGTGGTCACAATGGTGACCCATTCTAACTTACTATAGATAAGAGGTTACTAGCCCCTTGCTCCCGGCATTTTAGTCGCCTCTTACAACACGCATGGCTTACGGAGGAAGAATTCTATTCCACTTCCCCATGGAGAAAATCTATATATATATATATATATATATATATATATATATATATATATATATATATAATATATATATATATATATATATATAAAATATATATATATATATATATATATATATATATATATATATATAATATATATATAATATATATATATATATATATATATATATATATATATATATAATATATATATATATATAAAATATATATTATATATATATATATATATATATATATATATATATATATATATATATATATATATATATATATATAATATATATATATATATTATATATATATATATATATATATTATATTTATTTATTTATTTATTTATTTATTTATTTATTTATTTATTTATTTTTAATAATAAAAAATATTCACCTTTTAAATTCCCATTTTTTGGCTAACTCATGTAACCAGTTTCCTGTGTAGCAAGTACATTTGCTAATGTACCTCTCTGCAGGTAAAGCCATTGGGGTCATACAACCCTTCAAGCCTTAGTTCTACACCTTGTCCACAGGGTGTAGAACTTTCAAAAAAAATTTTTTGTTATTTTTTGTTATGAAATGGTACAGAATCTTTTTCTGAGGGTAATAAAACAAAAAAGTACGAAATTTTATGGAAAATTGACAAAATTACACTTTTGAATTTTACTGCATCACTGATATTTACAGATTGGCGATTTTGCCCACTTTGACTCCTATTTTAGGCCAATTACATTATTCCAGTTGACCAAGTTCTCAACTATTTCTCTAGTATCACTTTTATTTTATCAATTGAGCACAACAAACTGCCCAGTCAACTATTTCAACTAACCTAATAAAGTGATCAGAAATTGGTAATTTGACCAATTTCACACAAAGTTCAAAATATTCCATTTTGAAAATAGGGGTCCAGAATAAACAATGCAGGCATTCCTGGCACTAAAATAACATTTCTTCTGTTTATTAGTTATGTTTTCAGGCTTTACAAATGAATTCCATTTTATTTTTTATTCACATGAATTTTTATTCACACCAATAGAAGAGTTACTGTAATGCAATAGTGTAATAATTGTATAAATAATATCAGCACTTTCGTGAACGTATATTAGACCTGCCAGCTGATGTGTATTGGACGCGTGACATTATTTGTTTACTCTTGAACATCGGCAAAAGTTGAGCATTTCCGCCACTTTAAGCTCAATTTCAAGCTATTTTCAGTAGTAAAACCAATTAAATTCATCAATATTTCTGTAATATATCTTCCATTCTATCAAATGAGATCAAGAAACAGTGAATGCAACCTTAAAAACCATACGAAAATACACCGCAAAGTTGGTTTTAACCCTTTCAGGATCCATCCCGTAGATCTACGGCTTTACGTTCAGGATCCAAACCGTTGATCTACGTCATGAGCTCAGCTCACTCTGATAAACTGTGAGTGGTAAATTTGGGCCTAGATATGAGAGAATACATCTATGTGGTATGTGTGCACCACATAAAACAAATCTTGCAGCACACTGTGTATAATGAGAGAAAAAAAAAATGAGACCATGATTTTTTATTAAAACAGCGACTTTGCAGTGTTTTTTCGTATGTTTTTTATAGTTGTATTTGTGATTTCTATTCTCATTTGATAGTATGGAAGATATTTTACAGAAATAGAAATAATTTTGATTGGTGTTAGCCCTGGAAATGGCTTGAAACTGAGCTCAAAGTGGCGGAAATGTTAAATTTTTGCCGATGTTCAAGAGTAAACAAACGACCTCACACGTCTAATACACGCCAGCTGGTGGGTCTAATATACATTCACAAATATGGTGATGATATTTATACAATTATTACAATATTCCATAACAGTAAATCTTCTATTTTTTGGTGTGAATAAAAATTCATTATGTGAATAAAAAATCAAAATGGAATTTATTTGTAAAGCCTCAAAACATAACTAATGAACAGAGGAAATGTTAGTTTAGTGCCAGGAATACCTACATTGTTTATTCTGGACCCTATTTTGAAATTGGAATATTTTGAACTTTGTGTTAAATTGGCCAAATTACCAATTTCTGGTCACTTTATTTTGTAGTTGAAACAGTTGACTTGGCGATTTCTTGTGCTCAATCGATAGAATAGAAGTGATACTAGTGAAATAGCTAAGAATTTGGTCGACTGGAATAATGTAATTGGCCTAAAATGGTAGTCAAAGTCGGCAAAATCGCCGATTCGTAAATATCGCTGACACATCAAAATTCACGAGAGCATAATTTCGTCAATTTTTCATCAAATTTCGTACTTTTTGTTTTATTACCTTCACAAAAAGATTCTCTACCATTTCATAAGAAAAAATGAAAATTTTTTTTTTTTTGAAAATTCTTGGACACTGGGGCACCACTTCAGATTTTGGCCTTGGACCCTGAAAGGGTTAATCCAAAATCATGGTCAGTTTTTTTCATTATGTACTGCATGCTGCAGGATTTGTTTTATATGGTGCACACGTACCACATAGGTCCATTCTCTCATATCTAGGCCCAAATTTACCGCTCACAGCTTATCTGAGTGAGCTGAGCTCATGGCATAGAACTGTGGCTTGGACCCTGGCTTCAAAGCTGTAGAACTATGGGACGGACCCTCAAAGGGTTAAGGCACGTCCTCTGATGAGCATCACTTTGCAGATTTGTTACCAAAAATCATGACAGAACAGTTCTTATACCATAGGGCCTTGGGTATCTTTGCTTACACCTGTTTCTTTCTTCCCTTAGCAGTAGTAACTAGGTTCCTGGGTGTTAGTCAACTGTTGTGGGTTGAATCCAGGGGGTGGTAGTATACCCTAGATAGGACTGAACTCTCAAATAAGCAGAGTTAGAATAATATAATGTTAGAGTACGCCAACAGCATGTGCAGATTATGCCATCTTAAAGAACAAAATGGCACAAGTGTGATGAAATATCAGTGACACAAATAACCTGCACATAGGAGAATGAAACTTAAGATGACATTTTGATATGACTTTGACCACAGTGGCGTAATAATGAAATACCAAGTAATCCTTAAGTGGAGTGCTTTGGAACTGCTGAAGGGCTCTTGATTCAAAGAACTAGGGCAACTCCTTCCTCAGACCAAACCTAAATACCTCCCTATTATTATTTCCATGGCATCACTTAAGTTTTAAATTGTATATTTTCTTATTGTATATGGAAAAGCTCATAGTTATGCAGTGCATTTCAGGCAGATTTAAGATTAAACATGCAGTAATCTGTTTATGAAAAGGTATATTACACAGATACAGGAGGGCCCTGCATGTATTACATAGATACAGGAGGGCCCCACATATATTACATAGATACAGGAGGGCCCCACATATATTACATAGATACAGGAGGGCCCCACATATATTATATAGATACAGGAGGGCCCCACATATATAGATACAGGAGGGCCCCATATATATTACCTAGATACAGGAGGGCCCCACATATATTACATAGATACAGGAGGGCCCCACATATATTACATAGATACAGGAGGGCCCCACATATATTACATAGGTACAGGAGGGCCCCACATATATTACATAGGTACAGGAGGGCCCCACATATATTACATAGATACAGGAGGGCCCCACATATATTACATAGATACAAGAGGGCCCCACATATACAGCACCTCTTTACAGTGTGCACATTTTCATTGACTTTCAATTCAGTCATTGTTCATTATGTTCACTTTTCTGCCATTTTTGCACAACAGTTGCATAAGGGAAGAGTGAGCGACACCATATTTTAAGGTAAATATTGTATGTACTCTGTATTTATTTTACTTTTCTTTCATACCTAGCTGTATTAAGCATGTTATCAGGCATTGTAGAATTAAAGTAAAAGGACACAAGTGCAACTAATGTGACATTTATTGTGGCAACGTTTCGCTCTCCAGGAGCTTTATCAAGCCATTACCAATGGCTTGATAAAGCTCCTGGAGAGCGAAACGTTGCCACAATAAATGTCACATTAGTTGCACTTGTGTCCTTTTACTTTACATATTGTCGGTAATTCTACCAACTTTATTACACTATTGTAGAATTAGTTGATAATGAAAACGCCTCTCTTTTCCACCCGCTGGTGATTTTTGCTTAGCGTATGGGGTCAGGACCCTAGGAGTGGTACCAACGGGGTCCTCCTCTACAATAATATAACCTTATGAAAAATATATGTTACATAGATATAATAATATAACCTCATTTCTTCCTCCTTTGTTGTTATTCAGACCTTTATTTGGTAGTTATTTTTATTTCCTGACTTACTATTCCTCTCCGCCTTTGTCATAAATCTGTTAACTTTGTTTTATAAATTACAGAGGATGTTGCAGACGACATGATTACTCTCAGCGTGTCTAGTGGCGTAGTGTCAAAATTGACAGCACTGGTCGGTGTGGATCAGGAGGGAAATCAAATTGAACAAAGTCACCTTAAAGATATTCATACATTTATGAATGCAAATCTGGTAATTATGAAGGGTTAAAGTGACTAATTCCTTCAGGTCAACAGTTTATAAAACAGTTGGTAGTATATTTTTTTGATGCTCTTGAAGTGAAAACCTTTCTAATATTTTGTTTCTCTTGAAGCTTTATAAGTGAAAATCCTTCTAATATATATGATTTTTTGTGCAAAATACCACATAAATAACTGGGGAGGAACCTTACGCAATGTCCAACAGAGTACGACCAGTATATAAGGCACACATGTTGTATTAGTGACTTTCTTTCGTGCCTGACAATGTGTTATTACATGTAAACTACATTGTGTACTGATAAAAGAAATATTTTTTTTTTTTTTTTTAGCAAATCAGCCATCTCCCACCAAGGCAGGGTAACCCAAAAAGAAAGGAAATCCCAAAAAAAGAAATTACTTTCATCATCATTCAATACTTTCAACTCATACATAATCACTGTCTTTGCAGAAGGACTCAGATACGACAGTTTAGAAGTCCCTCTAAACTGCCAATATCCCAAACACCTCTTTTAACCCTTTGGGGGTCGACAGGTCCTCTCAGAGACTTGTTCTCAGGGTCACCAAATTTCAAAAAAAAAAAATTATTTTTTCTTATGAAAAGATAGAGAATCTTTTCCCGATCATAATGACACCAAAAGTATGAAATTTGATGGAAAACTTACGGAATTATGCTCTCGTGAAGTTAGTGGTCTCGACGATGTTTACGCATTGGCAATTTTGCCCACTTTGAGCCCTATTTTCAGCCAATTCCAATGTACTAGTTGACAAAAATCATAACTATTTCGCTAAAACTCCATTTTTTTTTCTATCGAATGAGTACAAGAAACCACCCATTTACCGATTTCAACTATCCAATAAAGTGGTCAGAATTTAGCAATTTTGCCAATTTCACACAAATTTCAAAAGATGGCAATTTCTAAATAGGGTCCAGAATAAACAAGAAAGACATTCCTGGCACTAAAATAACAAGTTCTCTGTTCATTAGTCACATCCCCAGTCCCCTCTTATATTTCTTTGGCTTTCCACTTTGAATTTTTATTCTTACAAAAAAAATAAGATTTACTGTTATGCAGACTACTGCATTAGTGTAGAAATGGTATAAATAATATCAGCGCACTTTTGAAAGAATATTAGACTCACAAGTTGACGTGTATTGGATGCTTGGCATGATTTGTTTACTTTTGAACTTTGGTAAAAATCGAACATTTCTGCTACTTTAAGCTCAATTTCAAGGCGCTTTTCATTGTAAAACCAGTCAAAATCATCTCAATTTTTGTAATATGTCTTCCATTCTATAAAATGAGACCAAGAAAACTATAATACAACAATAAATACCCTACGAAAATACAGTGCAAAGTCGCTGTTTTAATCCAAAAACCCGGTCAAAGTTATTTTTTTCTCATTATGCACTGTGTGCTGCAGGATTTTTCTTATACTGCGCACACTGACCACATAGACCCATTCTTACATATGTAGGCCTACCAGCTTTCTCTCACTAGATTTGAGGGCGCTAGAATTTAGGTGTACTAGTACGTCAAAAACCCTGGGTCGTAAGACGTACTAGTACGTCAGAAACCCCCAAAGGGTTAAAGTGCAGGCATTGTACTTCCCATTTCCAGGACTCAAGTCCAGCTAACTGGTTTCCCTAAATTCTTTCACTAAATATTACCCTGCTCACACTCCAACAACACGTCAAGTCCTAAAAACCAGTTGTCTCCATTCACTCCTATCTACCACACTCACACATGCTTGCTGTAAGTCCAAGCCCCTCGCACACAAAACCTCCTTTACCCCTTCCCTCCAACCTTTCCTAGGTCGACCCCTACGCCGCTTTCCCTCCACTACAGATTTATACACTCTCAAAGTCATTCTTTTTTGTTCCCTCCTCTCTACATGTCCGAACCACCTCAACAACCCCTCCTCAGCCCTCTGGATAATAGTTTAGGTAATCACGCACCTCTTCCTAATTTCCAAACTACAAATTCTCTGCATTATATTCACACCACACATTGGTCTTAGACATGACATCTCCTCTGCCTCCAGCATTCTCCTTGTTGCAACATTCATCACCCATGTTTCACACCCATATTAGAGCAATGATATAACTATACTCTCATACATTTCTCTCTTTGCTTCCATGGACAAAGTTCTTTATCTCCACAGACTCCTCAGTGCACCACTCCCCTTTTTCCCATCACTAATTCTATGATTCACCTCATCTTTCATAGACCCATCTGCTGACACGTCCACTCCGAATTATCTGAACTCATTCACCTCCTCCATGGTCTCTCCCTCTAATCTGATATACAATTTTTCATTACCTATATTTTTTGTTATCCTCATTACCTTACTCTTTCCCATATTCACTTTAAATTTTCTTCTTTTACATATCCTATTAAACTCATCCACCAACCTCTGCAACTTCTCTTCAGAATCTCCCAGCAGCACATTGTCATCTGCAAAGAGTAACTGTGACAACTCCCACCTTGTGTTAGATTCTTTATCTTTTAACCCCCACACCTCTGGCCTATAGCTGGGCTCTGGGAGTAGAAAAACTCTCGGAACTCATCAGAGGTGTACCAAAGGTATTTCCTATAAAAGAACCCCAGGCAAAGATAAAACAGATGAAATAAGAATAGTCTAGAGCATAGTACGTACAGGGTAAATAGTGCATTTTGAGGTACAGTAGTCCCCGCCAAATTCGCGGGGGTTACTTTTCAAGACCACCTGTGAATTCTGGACGCGGTTAAAAAAAAATGCCTGTAAATGCCTATTTTTTTAGTTTAAACTCTAAATATGCCTCCAAAACACTTTAATTTAATTTCAAGCTTGGGTTCATGCATCACCCTTAAAAAAAAAACAAAGAAAGTAAAGATAAACCCGTATACAGTACTGTACTGCTATGTCTCCTGCAGTGCTAGAATGTAAAATACAGTGGACCCCCGGTTAACGATATTTTTTCACTCCAGAAGTATGTTCAGGTGCCAGTACTGACCGAATTTGTTCCCATAAGGAATATTGTGAAGTAGATTAGTCCATTTCAGACCCCCAAACATACACATACAAATGCACTTACATAAATACACTTACATAATTGGTCGCATTCGGAGGTAATCGTTATGCGGGGGTCCACTGTACCGATGTTTCCTCCATATTTACTGTTCATGCAAGCTCATTTTCTTTGGTATAGTGTAATTTATTCAACCCTGTTTTCTTTGGTATACATACAGTAAATATATGGTAATAATTTAGTTTAGCAAAAAGTAAAGTTAAATTTTGCCAAATTTACATTAATATTTATGTTACAAGACTATTAAATTATATTTTTCTTAATAATTAGCATTAAAGCATATAAAAAATTATATATTGCCACGAAAAAAGCCAAAAGAATTCTTTGAATTTATGGGGATTTCCGCGAACAATTAATAGTTAGGCTCTAAGGAGAAATCCACGAATTACTGAAGCCGCGAATTTGCGGTTCCCAATTCATGGGGGTCCACTGTACATTGTAATGTATCATAGATAGGATACATTGTTGATATAAAGATGTTGGAGTATAAAATACACATGGTTTGAAGGATGCATAACAAGTACACAGATATGTTTTTCAACAGTTCAGTTATATTATTTTACAGGGCACCTCTTGGGGAACTGCACGCTCTGCAATGTATACTCCAGCTTGTGCTCAAATGATGTCTAGTCCTCCTCCAAGAGGGTGTCGGGTAAGTAACTACATCTGATTAGACAAGGCATGAAAAATCATTGAGGCATCTAAGGTTTACAAAGTACAGGTTTCCTCTCATTTTATGCGGATTCACACTGTGTGATTTCGCTTATGTGTGGCGACCCTATTTGCTTTATGCAGTCAAAATATGTCTTATGCAATTGGGAGCGAGTGGGATGTGGTCGCTGTGTTCAGTGTGTGCATCGCTTTGTGTGAGGCATTGTGGGAGTGATGCCACACATCACTGCAACTACAGTCTCGCTTTGTCCATGGTAGTGCTCACGTCTCAGCGTCTTTCTAATGTATTTTTTAGGTGTTTGCCATTACAATCATCATAGCTTCTCAGCCTCGTACCAAGTTGTCATCCAGCTCTGTTTGATTCACAGAAGAAACACAAAAGGTCTTCCTTAACAGTGAAGACTGTGAATTGTTGCAGTGCCTGAGAGGGGCACCGATTTGAGTAGTAATGATCATGATAGTGGCAACTTGTTTGACTTCATGGCCATTGATGATGATGCAAGTGATAGTGATAAATATTTGTCTGTGGAGCATCAATTTACACTTCAGCACATGCTGTCTGGTAACATTCCTAGCTGTCTCAAAGGGCCCTGGTAAATCACTAGAGAGAACACCAACCAGTGAGAGTGATTATGGTGGTGCTTTAATTGGCATGGATAAATAACCAAAAATAACCATTTACAAAGTCACACTATGACTTTGTAAATGGTCCAAGTTGGACCGAAACGTCGTCATAAGCTCCTCTCTTCTATGTACGGGTTATTTGTGTATGGCATGGAGAGTTAACCATGGGCAGTGCCAGTCAGGCATGTTGTACCAGCTATTAAGACAAAGATGCTCACACAGCATTTTATATACACAGGTGTAGTCTTGTGGTTTGTGTACCTGTTTGTAAGTGAGTCAGTGATAACCAATTAGCAATGTAGGGACGAGCAAAAGACAGCAGAGAAAAACTTCCTAAATATATTTTCTTTCACTAAAGATATATGCAGTATGTACAGTACAGTAGAACCTTGGTTTTCATGATTAATCCGTTCCAGAGAGTCTGGCGAAAACCGAAAATGACGAAAGTCGAAACAATATTTCCCATAAGAAATAATGTAAATCCAATTAATCTGTTCCAGACATCCAAAAGTATTAACAAATACATTTTATAGAGAATAACTATAGTTTTACTTACTGAAAACAATGAGAAATAAATATAAAGCACTAATGAAATGGATAAATGAACATTTAAATCACTTTTACTTTTATTGAAGACTTTTGGTGGCATATGGAAAACAGCGAGGAGGGGAGAGAGAGGCTAGTTTATTGTTTGGAGACAGGACAAAATGCTTCAATATGATGCTAGTATCAACTCTATGGCTTATTTATGTATCACAATTCATCTGATATGACATAAACAATATTAATAAGTAGAAACATGATATATACTCTAGGATGAATAAAATATGTCATTACGTATGTGACGAGTGGTGGTGTTAGCGGCGGCAGTGGCCACCACCACTAGTCACACTGAAAAAATGCACATAATTTATAAATGAGAAATATTTATACTTACCTTGGAGGAGATGCTGGTAGAGGTTTAGGGTGGAAGATACTCCAGGCAGCGTATGTTGTCAGTGGCCCTATATACTTGCAACAACTTTGGAGGAGTTAGTTTCGTGTTGTCCTTTTTCTATCACTTAATCGCTTAACTTACTTGCTACACTGTTAATGCTATACTTTATCGCTGGCTGGAGCTGAAGACTTTTTCGACTTCTGCTGCTTTAGTATTGTACATATTGTAGAATCATTGAATCACTGAAGAAGGCACATTCTCCCCTCTCTCTCCCCTCTCTCTCCCCTCTCTCTCCCCTCTCTCTCCCCTCTCTCTCCTCTCTCTCTCCCCTCTCTCTCCCCTCCACTTTGGTATGTACTTTGCTACGAGTTCTTTCTTGAATTCTATAGTGTTTCTCACTTTCTTTACCAAAGGGCTGGCACTCGGAGCTTTCTTTGGCCCCATGGTGGCTTATTTAGCAGCCACACACAATAAACAAGCACAAAAAACAATAGAGTATTATGAAATGTTTCGTATGAATGTGCAGGGTAATGTTCACTTGCCAAGAAACAATGTCACACTGACTCGGAATGCGTGTGTGGGAGGCTTTACCTGCATGTAGCAGGTGGACACATTTGGTACGTCCATCGAAATCCAAGGCGATCAACGAGAACAGAGACAATATTTTGACAAAAAAGTCAGCAATAACCGAAAATGATGAAATCAGAGGCAAACGAAAACAGAGGTTCCACTGTATATGTATATTATCTTCAGAGAGTATGTATAATGAGACAATTTACAAGCAAAGATATGGATGAACTGTTTTCATTCAGACTTGGAGGTAAGTCTACCAATTATGCACCTGACCTTGCTTCACAAAGTTGGTGGGGTTTCCCATGATTGGCTGGAGGAACCGAGCAGTTGACATAGCAGTGGGGCCTCTCCTGCTATACTCTTAACTGCTGGTTTACTGGTCAGGAGGGCATGCCTGTATAGGTGTATGACATGTCGAATAAATTGTAATGTACTCTTCACATGCCACACAGCACCAGCACCACCCCTGAAAGGAAGCCAAGTCCCATACCCAACACCCCCACCATGACCATGACCACTGGCTGTGTCAACCTCACACACAGAACTACCACCACCATTAGCACTACAACCACCATAACCAGTCACACACACACAACATTTATAATAACATTACCAGTGCCAGTCGTATATGTGTACATTTATAAGAAGAGTAGAAAACTGATGCAAATGGAAGTGCGTGTATACATGTGTATAAACAAGCTTATACGTATAAACGATTATACTGGTGCAACAATTATGCTTAATAATAAGGCATAACCAAACAGATATTGGCCATCAAATTAAAGTTCTTACCTTCACACTGCCATAAAATTTAAAAACTACAACTAAACAGCAACATCAAAAAACAGAGGTGTTAATGTTGCAGTTTTAATAACTGTAGTGTAAGCATGCCTCTGGAAATACAGTGGAATGAATGATGATGAAAGTTTTTCTTTTTTGGGCCACTCTGCCTTGGTGGGAAGCAGCCAATGTGTTAATAAAGAAAAATATTTCAATGTGGGAGACGGCCAACTTGTTGAAAAAAAAAAATTCAATGTGTACCATAGACTTGATTATTTTCATCACTGTGTCAATTACCCTCAGCTTCATGACTTCATAACTCCACCAGTATCTACCTGATTTCTATTCTATTTTATTACCATTGGAAAATTGAGCTCTTCACTTTCAAAAATTTTTTTTTTTTGAAAAATTGTGACACAGAAGCGACTTTTAACCCTTTCAATGTCTCTTATGCGCATGTACTTTACATGTATCACCACTAACCCTTTCACTGTCTCCCATGTAGATCTACATTATTGATGCCACTGTCTCCCATGTAGACCTACAGTATCAGTGCATACCTTTTCACTGTCTCCCATATAGATCTACATTATCGGCACCAGTGTCACGCACATAGATCTACATTTTAAACATAGTGTCCTCAGATATGCTGTGAATGGTAAACTTTGGTCTAGACTTGAGAGAATGGGTCTAAATGTTTTTTTTATGGTTTTATTGACTGTTTCTTGGTATCAATTGATAGAATGGAAGACATAAAAGTGACATAGAAATAATTTTGGTTGGCTTCAGATTTTTTCTGTTATTAATATACTGTACTGATACATAGTATGTGAATACTTAGTGATGCATTCTGTCCAACTTTCCTGAACAGTATTATCCAGACTCCACCAACTATTGTGTCAACAGTACTACTTGTGTAGTTCAGTAAATCCTCGACTTAAGAACACACTGAAAATCTTCTGTATTGTGTATTAATGTCATTATTATATCATTATTGTGTATAATATCATTATTATGTGCAATACATAAGGTCCCCAATGCATTCATAAGTTGAAGTCTTCCTGTATTATGAATTTTATACATAATTCAGGAGGTCCCCAATGTGTTTGTAAGCCAAGGACTTACTGTGTATGCTTATACATAGACTTCCTAGCAACATTATGGTAAGGGGCCCCGGCAAGCCTTACGTCATGTGACTACCCCCACATGTAGAACTCGACTAGGCATAGTGGGGAGCAGATGCAAACAAGCTGGGCTCTTCCACAATTGCCGAATGCAGCCTCTTCTCACTTAACGACAGAATTCCATTCCTAAGATCACACTGGTAAACGAATTCGTCGCTAAGTGAGGAACATACTATAATGGTCGTTGGTTTGTGTCAACCATCTTTGATAATGTTTTAATGTCACCTTTGCACCATTTATAACATTTCTGGTATATTTTTAAATGTTTATACACCAGTGTACTGTATATTGTAATAAACAGAATAGAGGAAATCAGCTCTAATATACATTGTACCCCGAGTTTCGAAATTTCTTCGTTCCAGAAGGCTGTTCAAGCCCGTCGTAAGTCTGAGTCGTTGGTAAACAAGTACATCACTAAGTGAGGAGAGGCTGTATACATTTCCAGAACAGTCTACAGTGTATTCCTGCTACCTTCACTCCATCCATGAACATACAACACTTGTACAATAAACAGATGAGTCTCTGCTCAATATAGATCAAGTAAACAAGAGACTATACTCTTTCCTAATTTCATGTGATATATCTACTAGACTTCTTTATAGACCCTAGGAAAGCTTTCAATACAGTAGACCACAACAACCTGCATCTTAAACTAGAACATCATGGTATCAGAGGTTATGCACTTGCATATATAAAGTCCTACCTTAACAACAGACATCAATATGTCTCCATCAAGGGCATAACCTTGTCAACTTGACCTGTTGACATTGGGGTGCCCCAAGGCAGTGTTCTCAGTCCTCTGCTTTTCTTCATAGATATCATTAATCTTCCAAATGCATCTCATCAACTTAAACCTGTTCTGTTTGCAGACAACACCACTAT